TGAGAATATTCCATATTTTATTATAAAACATAAAACCACTTAGATAACACGTATTCTAATCTCATATATAAATCATAATAATCGTTAATGATTGTAATTTACAGTAGGCTATTTATTAAGAAATTAAGAAAAATACGACTTCTTAATAATTAGTATTATTATTGTCATTATCATTAAGTAGGATATTGTTTATTTTTATTTTTGAAGTCTACTTATACAATATGACACATTCAAACCACTGCAGAAATGTTCTAACCAGCAGTCCCATTTCATATTGTCACCGTCACCCACGATCCAGCCTGTGCAGATCGCTTACGCACTACAAATCTGCTGGTACATAGACTACAAGTTCCAGTCATGCAACACACACACGCCTGCTCCGAGTCTCCCTTGATTACACTCACACAGCTGATGCTGCTAATGGACTGATCACACACACATATACGGCTCACTTTTACACTCTCGTTGCTGAGTCTTGCTTTACAGTTTTGTGACATTACGACGCGGCTTCCTTGCCTTGCCGTGTTTTTGAGCCTCGCCTTGTTTGTTTTTTCTGTCATGTGAGGAGAGATGCTGACAGGGGATAACAGATCTAAACGCAGGTTTGTTGAGAATGGTCAGACAAGCAACGGTCACAATTTAGGAGCAAACAGATCCAGAGTCGTAGTCAAAAACACAGGCGATAGGTCAATTACAGTTGCGCTGGTCTGAAAATAGCAACAAATCTCGGAAAACATGTCTTGTGCCTTATTGCGCCGGGTGTATAATTAGGCCCTTAATTAGTTGTCATAAGACATGTCATCATCAACGCTTTCCATTCACTTTGAATGGGTGACATCAGGCAATGCCGAACTGCATTGTGGATCCATCGGTGCCGCTTCAGAGGCGTTGCTTGTTGCAAGAGTTGGGACTAGCTCAACTTTTCAAGCGCCGACGGAAGCGTCAGCCAATCAGATCGCTGTATGCAAATACACCTAATAGACAGTGGCCTATTGCTGACTGAATTTCATTGGCTGACGCTGCTATGACGATCGCTTTAGCCCCAACTTCAGACACGCCTTCAGTCAAGTGTTGACGCTGAAGCCTCGTGTGAATGGGGCGTAAAGGTGTTTTTGGGAAACGCATCCATGTTTGAAGAAAGCCAGACCTGTAACCATTGACTTCCATAGTATTTGTTTTTTCCTAATATGGAAGTCAATGGTTACCGGTTTTCAGCATTCTTCAAAATGTCTTCTTTTTTGTTCCAAGGGAACTTATAAAGGTTTGGAACCACTTGAGGACAAGTAAACAGTGAGTTCATGTTAATTTTTGAGTGAACTATCCCTTTAACCAGCTAAACCAGTAAGAATACCACTCATACCTTGGTAAATCATCTTTACTGGAGGCATTGAGTCATAGAGACCACCAGCAAGCCACCGTGTACAGGCTTGCATGACTCTGAGTTCAGTTTTAAACTAGTATTTGTGGCTGCCAGACTTGTTGTGAAATCTGGTGTGTTGACCAATTTGTTGGTCATGTTAAGTTTCTTTTATTTGTATGGCACTTAATGCAGGACTGATGCTTTCAAGGCAACTTCAGAGGAATAAATCAGAAAATAACATACACTCTTAAAGGGACATCTCATCCAAAATGAGTCATTTACTCACCCTTCACTTGTTTCTTTCCTCTGTAAAAGACAGAAGTTGTTTAGATTAACATTATAAACGGGTACACATTGACTTCTTGTTTTTTTTTTTCCTACTTGGATGTCAATGGTTACCCATTTCTAACATCTTATTTTGTGTTTAACAGAATGACTTGCTTAAATTTCAGGATGAGTAAATGATGACAGAATTGCATTTTTGGGGTGAACTATCCCTTTAGAATAAATTTTAACTAAAACTTTCTGTATTATGTAATAAATCAGACAATAACTTACTCTCTTAAAGGGATAGCACACCCAAAAATAAGTCATTTACTCACCCTTTACTTGTTTAAAAAAAAAATTGTTTCTTTTCTCTGTCAAAGACAAAAGAAGTTGTTTAGATTAACGTTGAAAAGTGGTACCCATTGACGTTTTTTTTCCTACTATGTATGTCAATTGTTACCCATTTCTAACATTGATGGTTGATAAAATAAGATATTCTGAAGAATGTTAGAAACGAGTACCCATTGACTTCATGTTTTTTTGTGTGTCTTCCTGCTATGGAAGTCAATGGTTACCCATTTCTAACATTGATGGTTGATAAAATAAGATAATCTGAAGAATGTTAGAAACGGGTACCCATTGACTTCATGTTTTTTTGTTTCATCCTACTTTGGAAGTCAATGGTTACCCGTTTCTAACATTCTTCAGAATATTTTATTTTATGTTCAACAGAAAGACTTTAATATGTAATGAATCAAAAATAATTTACACTCTTAAAGGGATAGCTCACCTAAAATAAGTCATTTAATCACCCTTTACTTGTTTAAAAAAAAATCTTTTCTCTGTCAAAGACAAAAGAAGTTGATTAGATTAACGTTGAAAAGTGGTACCCATTGACGTTGTTTTTTTTTCCTACTATGTAAGTCAAGGGTTACCCATTTCTAACATTGATGGTTGATAAAATAAGATGATCTGAAGAATGTTAGAAACGGGTACCCATTGACTTCATGTTTTTTTTTTTTGTTTCATCCTACTTTGGAAGTCAATGGTTACCCGTTTTTAACATTCTTCAGACTATCTTTTTTTATGTTCAACAGAAATACTTTAATATGTAATGAATCAAAAAATAATTTACACTCTTAAAGGGATAGCTCACCCAAAATGAGTCATTTACTCACTCTTCACCTGTTTCAAAAATGTTTAGTTTCTTTTCTCTGTCAAAGACAAAAGAAGTTGTTTAGATTAACGTTGAAAACGGGTACCCATTGACGTTGTTTTTTTTTCTACTATGTAAGTCAATGGTTACCCATTTCTAACATTGATGGCTGATAAAATAAGATATTCTGAAGAATGTTAGAAACGGGTACCCATTGACTTCATGTTTTTTTCTTCCTACTATGAAAGTCAATGGTTACCCATTTCTAACATTGTTCAGAATATCTTATTTTGTGTTTAACAGAATGACTTAATGAGTAAATGACGACAAAATAGAATATTTGAGGGGAACGATCCCTTTAAATAAAATTTTAACTAAAACATTCTGTATTATGTAATAAATCAGAAAATAACTTGCACTCTTAAAGGGTGAGCTCACTCAAAAATTAGTCATTTACTTACCCTTTACTTGTTTCAAAACTTTTGAGTTTCACTTTCTGTAAAAGGCAAAAGAAGATGTTTAGATTAGTGTTGAAAACAGGTACCAATTGGCGTTGTTTTTTTTTTTCCTTACTATGTAAGTCAATGGGTACCCGTTTCTAACATTGATGGTTGATAAAATATGATATTCTGAATCATGTTAGAAATGGGTACCCATTGACTTCATGTTTTTTTTTTTTCCTCCTACTCTGTAAGTCAATGGGTACCCGTATCTAACATTGATGGTTGATAAAATAAGATATTCTGAATCATGTTAGAAATGGGTACCCATTGACTTCATGTTTTTTTTTTCCTCCTACTCTGGAAGTCAATGGTTACCCGGTTTTAACATTGATGGTTGATAAAATAAGATATTCTGAAAAATGTTAGAAATGGATACCCATTGACTTTTTGTTTGTTTGCTTGTTTGTTTCTTCCTACTATGGAAGTCAATGGTTACCCATTTCTAACATTGATGGTTGATAAAATAAGATAATCTGAAGGAATGTTAGAAATGGATACCCATTGACTTTTTTGTTTTTGTTTTTTTGTTTGTTTGTTTCTTGTTACTATGGAAGTCAATGGTTACCCGTTTCTAACATTCTTCAGAATATCTTATTTTATGTTCAACAGAAAGACTTTATTAAGTAATAAATCAGAAAATAACTTACACTCTTAAAGGGATAGCTCACCCAAAATGAGTCATTTACTCACCCTTTACTTGTTTAAAAAATGTAGTTTCTTTTTTCTGTCAAAGACGGTAGAAGTTGTTTAAATGATGATGAAAACAGGCACCCATTGACTTCATGATGAGTGAATGGAGTAAATGATGCAGGAGATGAACATTTTGCAAAAAATAAGATTTAGATGTTTCCTTGTTTTCTTGGAGTTTGCATGTTCTCCATGTGTTGTCGTAGGTTTCCTCCTGGTGCTTTGTTTTCCCCCACAGTCCAAACACATGCGCTATAGGTGAATTGAATGAACTAAATTGACCGTAGTCTATGAGTGTGTGTGTGTGTGTGAATGAGAGTGTATGGGTGTTTTCCAGTACTGGGTTGCGGCCGGAAGGGCATCTGATGTGTAAAGCATGTGCTGGAATAGTTGGCGGTTCATTCCGCTGTGGCGACCTTTGATAAATAAGGAACTTAGCTGTAGGAAAATGAATGAATGAACGTTAACAAGATTTATGCACCAATATTTAAATAGTGGTGACGCAGTGGGTAGGTAGTGCTGTCGCCTCACAGCAAGAAGATCGCTGGTTCGAGCCTTGGCTGGGTCAGTTGGTGTTTCTGTGCAGAGTTTGCATATTCTCCCTGTGTTGGCGTGGGTTTCCTTCGGGTGCTCCGGTTTCCCCCACAGTCCAAAGACATGCAGTACAGGTGAATTGGGTGGGCTAAATTGTCCGTAGTGTGTGTGTGTGAATGAGTGTGTGTGGATGTTTCCCAGAGATGGGTTGAAGCTAAAAGGGCATCCGCTGCGTATAACATATGCTGGATAGGTTGGCGGTTCATTCCGCTGTGGCGACCCCTGATTAATAAAGGGACTAAGCTGAAAAGAAAATGAATGAATGAATATTTAAATGCACTACTGAATAAAATTTGAAACACACACACACACACAAACAAACACTTCAGCATGCTTTCTATGCACATTAAACCACTCTTGTTAATTGTTGATTTGATGTGTTCATCCAATGACGCGTGTGGATCGCTGACCTCTGCTGTGTTTCTGTCTGCAGGTCTCTGGCGGTGGGACACCAGTACACCTCTCTGGGTACGCAGCCCATAATGTGTAGCTCAATTCCTGGCCTGGTCCCCAAACAGCTCCGCTTCTGCCGCAACTACGTGGAGATCATGCCTAGCGTGGCCGAGGGCGTCAAAATCGGCATCCAGGAGTGTCAGCATCAGTTTCGTGGACGCCGATGGAACTGCACTACTATCAACGACAAGCTGGCCATCTTCGGACCAGTGCTGGATAAAGGTAGGCCTAAAATAAGATGGAGATTTGTGAAATTGTTTATTTACAGTTGTGAATTGCATTATGGGATGTTGATCTCTGCTCTGTCGACTTTTGATGTTGAAAATTCAACTACAGTTTAACAAAGGGACTTTTATTGACATTATAGTAGTTTTTAAGAATATAATGAATATGCACTAATATATATATAGAGAGAGAGTAAAAATATAATTGTAATTAATTAGGGGCCAAGCACCGTAGGTGCGTAGGCACCTATTGCTTTCGTTAGTGTTCTTCTTCTTCCGTTTCTTCCGCCGGATTTGAATGGCAGCCCATATAGGCGTATGCGGGAAAGTTGTATAATTTGGCACAATGATAGAGGACAGTATTAACATTAATCAGACCAAACATGAAGTCTTAAAATCAAACTCTCTAGCACCACCACTTGTCCAAACTTTCACAAACGTTTATCATCATAACTTTTGAACCGAATGGGCTACAATCAAATTTCCCTATGACGTCATTTTCCGTCATGAATTTTTTCGCGCTATTTGAAATTTTTTGAATCTTATTTGATCAAACTCGTCCTAGGCCGTTTCTCCGATTATCACCAAAATTTAATCACATGATCTACAGACCATGCCAACCAAAAGTTATGGAATTCAAGTTGATTTGACCAACCGTTTTCGTTTAACTTGCGATCAAATTTAACGAAGGACTTGCGAAAATGGACTTGAGACGATATCTCCGTAACGCATTCACCGATTCACACCAAACTTGGTATGTGTTATGACGTGGCTAGAGCCACGCCTCCTGAAACACGAGCACAGCAAAAGAACCCTCTCTCATGTGTTAAAAGCGACTAGTGCTTGTCCTGCTGCTCGTGCATATTATCCACAAAAAACCTTTATCATATATGATATATATGCACTAAGGCATACATAACACACCTTGCTACAATGTTTGATTAAGAGGACCCTGAACGTGGATTGTCATTCAGATCGACACTCTACTACACAGGTCTTTCCACCTACTTCATGGGCTGAACTTTGAAATAATGGGAGGGGCTGATTATAATATTATACAAAAGGCCGTTTTTTCTTTGACATAAAAAAAAACGCAGAAAATAATGGCGAATTATGGCATGCATGCGGCGTCAAAAACTGCGTTCTTGGCTGGATCAAAAAACGCTGTTTTTGCGCCGTTTTTGACCCGCAAAATGCCGTAAGTGATCTTCGCCGTCTTTTCGTCTTAAACGCCGAAAATACCACGTTTTGGGGATAACACGCGTTTGGTTATAGGCGTAGTTTGACCCATTCTACCTTCCATACGGGTCGGCCCTGAGTTGCCTGAATGTTGTAAATACTTGAGCTCACCTCCCTCGCGACAGAGCGCATAGGAGAAAAATGACGTCAGTACATAATAACCGGTTATGATTATCACTGAACCGATACCGAATTGTCTGCGTCTGCATCGCGGTGCACCGAAGAAACAATTAGTTTTGACACCCCTAACTTAATTTAAATCATTACTATCAGACTGTGAAGAGACTTTCAACCAGCACAACAAAGAATGCTTCTGAAGACAATCACCTACTGCACTTTTAAGCGGGTTAATAATATTGACCTTAAAATGGTTTTAAGAAAATTAAAAACTGCTTTTATTCTAGCCGAAATAAAACAAATAAGACGTTCTCCAGAAAAAAAAATATAACAGGATATACTGTGGAAAAATTCCTTGCTCTGTTAAACGTCATTTGGAAAATAATTGAATAAGCATAAGCGAAATGCACATATAAAAACATTGTTAACGTGAAAATGTAACCTCTCTCATCATTTACTCACGCTTTTGTTGTTCAAAACCTATCTGAGTGTCTTTTTTTCTTTTGTGTTCAACAGAGAAAGAAAGAAAGATAGGTTTTAAGCAAGCAAAGGGTGAGTAAACGATGACAGAATCTTCATGTCTTGTGTGAACTATCCCTTTAATACAGTGATTGTGCATGTGTCTCTCTAAGCCTTATTTATTAAAGATCTAAAAATCCCTAATAATTTAAGCAAAAATATAGTTTTAAAGACAGGAATGTGAGCTCTTTTTATCCACCCCAGCTACTTGACACTCATATTTCACTCAGTGCCTCTTTGTAGGCGGTGGCTATGTAACATTACGGCTTCTCGGGTACAACAAAAGCCCCGTGTTTGCACAGCGCTCTGATTGCTGAGATTACTCTGTTGTTCTGCGCTCATTATTTATTTGCCGCTCTGTAATCCGCCTCTCAATGGCCATTAGTCAGGTGCACCGGACTATGACAGCTCGTACAGATGTAGCGGTGCACGCGTGTAAAGTGGGTGGGACGTGTTTGGTTTGTTTCTGTCAAAGGGAATCCCCACATTTCTCACTGCGCACAGTTAAAGCTAATGCATTCTCACACTGACGTTCTGTGTGTGTGTGTGTGTGTGTGTGTAACAGACATACTTCAGAGCTTGCTCAAAATGGATTTACATTGCCAATGTGTGTGTTTATCTAAGGTGAAGTTATGAATGTGTTGTTTTGGGCTTTAATCAGTTGGGATTCTTGTCAAAAGCACAAGTCTGTGCATAACACGGTACAATTTTAGGGTGTATTTTCAGTTTTAAAAAATCCTAATCAACTGTTTGCTTACTACTGAAGCTACAGAGTTTTGGTAATGTTTTGCGGAGGTAAACATCATTATTGCTATTGTTTAAATGCTTTCATCTGCAAAATTGTTGCGAATGGGCTTAATTTAGCTCTCTGCAACTCTCACATGGTGGTCCACTGAAGCTAAGCAGGGCTGTCGCCCGGTCAGCAGCTGGATGGGAGACCACATGGAAAAGCAAGGTTGCAGCCGGAAGTGGTGTTAGTGAGACCAGCAGGGGGCGCTCAACCTGCGGTCTGTGTGGGTCCTAATGCCCCAGTATAGTGAAGGGGACTCTATACTGCACAGTGAGCGCCGTCTTTCAGATGAGCCGTTAAACTGAGGTCCTAACTCTCTGTGGTCTGTAAAATACCCAGGATTTGCCCACTGGCCTCTGTCCATCATGGCCACCTAACATCCCCATATCTTAATTGGCTTCATCACTCTGTCTCCTCTCCACTAATCAGGAAATGGAATTATTTATTATTATTATTATTATTATTATTATTATTATTATTATTATTATTATTATTATTATTATTATTATTATTATTATTATTATTATTATTATTATTATTATTATTATTATTATTATTATTATTATTGTTGTTGTTGTTGTTGTTGTTATTATTGTTATTATTATTATTATTATTAATTAATTATTATTTATTATTATTATTATTATTATTATTATTATTATTATTATTATTATTATTATTACTATTACTTATTGCTATTATTATTATTAATTATTATAATTATTATTTATTATTATTATTATTATTGTTAATATTATTATTATTATTATTATTATTATTACTATTACTTATTGTTATTATTATTATTATTATTATTATTATTAATTATTATAATTATTATTTATTATTATTATTTTATTATTATTATTATTAGTAGTAGTATTATTAATTATTATAATTATTATTATTTATTATTAGTATTATTATTACTTGTTGTTATTATTATTATTATTATTAATTATTATAATTATTTTTTATTATTATCATTATTATTTATTATTATTAATAATAATAATAATATTATCATTATTACTATTAATTATTGTTGTTATTATTATTATTATTATTATTATTATTATTGAATTAAAAACAAATAAATGAGTTTAGTAATGTTAAACTTAATTTGTTTGTTTAAATTCAGCCCAAATAAATTGTTTGCAGCTTTAAAAAAAGTTGAGTAAATCCAACGAATCAAGTGTTTTCAGTGTGGCAAGTGTTTTCAGTGTGTGACAAGTGTTTTCAGTGTGGTTGATGTGTGTGCGAAATGTTTTTGTTTGTTTGTTTTCAGTATGTATAATTATCAAATTCTTTGGTTATTTGTTTATTTGTATTGTTAAAAAAGATTGTGATGAATTAATACATTTATTACATGATTATTACATGTTTACATTGAACATGTTTTTGTTCAGGCATGGGTTTCCTCCGGGTGCTCCGGTTTCCCCAATAGTCCAAACACATGCGCTATAGGGGAATTGGATGAACAAAACTGTTCGTAATGAATGAGTAATGCGTATGGGAAACAAATTCCTAGTATTTGCCAAAAGAAAAAGAGCTTTTTTGACTCAACAAAAAAATTCTCGCCTCGCAGCAAGAACGTCACTGGTTTAAGTCCCGGCTGGGCCAGTTGGCATTTGTGTGTGGAGTTTGCATGTTCTCCTCTTGATCACGTGGGTTTCCTCTGGGTGCTCCAGTTTCCCAAATAGTCCAAACACATGCGCTATAGGTGAATTGGGTAAACCAAACTGTCCGTATTGTATGAGTGTGTGTGTGAAAGTGAGTGTGTATAAGTGTCCAAAGACTGGGTGAAGGCTGGAAGCCCTAAAACATATGTTGGAATAGTTGGTGGTTCATTCCGCTGTGGCGACCCCTGATAAATCAAAGACTATGAATGAATGAATGATTTTTTTAAGATCTACTAAGACTTATTATGCGTATAGGAAACAGATTTTTGGTATTTTCAGAGAGAAAAACTTGGTAGAGTAGAGATGTGTTCCTGTTGATCAACTCATTCCACACTGTAAAATAAAGTTGACTCAACTTAAAACTGTAAGGCAACTTACCCCACGGCTTTTTTGCGTTTACTCAACAAAAATATTCTCACCTCACAGCATGAAGATTGCTGGTTTGAGTCCCGGCTGAGCCACTTGGCATTTGTGTGTGGAGTTTGCATGTTCTCCCCTTGATCGCGTGGGTTTCCTCTGGGTTCTCCCGTTTGTCCAATAGTCCAAACACATGCGCTATAGGTGAATTGGGTAAACCAAACTGTCCATAGTGTGTGAGTGTGTGTGTGTGTGTGTGTGTGTGTGTGTGTGTGTGTGTGTGTGTGTGTGTGT